ATATTGAATGTATTATTTAAATGTCACATGTGCCTGTCCTTTATTGATGCCGGAGGAGAGAAAGTGATGCGTAGTCCATAAAAATAAACCAATAAATTTTTCTGCTCATGAATTTTCTTTTAGATAATTCGAAATAAAATATTTAATATTGTTCTATCGCAAGACAAACTAGGAGTGATGAATTTGAATGGTCATCTTTAAAGTGGACAAGTCAAGTTTTTATTTAGAAACTCGTTAGGTTGATATGAGTAAAGAAAAATTTAAGACATTATGTCAATTTAAAATATGTTTGCTATGATTTAGAACGCTTTGGACGCATTCTGCCATGAAGTGACTTGTAAACCGGCCATATACACGTAGATTTTATTTAGCTCTTATTGTTATAGCCTTAAGAGCGAAAATTTTCATAAACTTGTTTCATGGTACATGGCACTTTGCGTATGAACTGTCATTGTCACGACAACGAATTTGTTGTTAAATAATTGTTCACAATTCCTACAACGAGACAACAGAGATAATCTGTAAAGGAACATGGCTGACAACGTCATCCCCCGTGAACAGTTTTAAAATAGAGTCTAGTCGGTTTCTATGTAACAAAAAAGAGAGACTTATTGTTTAATCGAATAATTTATTAAAAATTTAATATCTACTTTATACAAGAGTCAAGTAAACTATTGTCTGCCTAGTTAGTACACTTAATAGCCTGCATATTATCCATTAATTCCCATAGGGCACTCACCACTCGTGGTTCTACCTATACAAGACTAAAAATTTTATTACAACTACCAAGTTCATTTCGATAGAGTAAATGTTGCCTTTAAATCGAAATAAATCATCCAATCAACTGATCACATTAAAAGTTCATTCGTCAAAATTTCAATAAATAAAATAAGATATATAGAACATATTTAAAGTAATTATTGCTATCTAATTTATTAAAGCACTAAATAATAGGACATTATTTATTTATTTTCGAAATATTTCATTACTTTGTTGTTAAAAGAAACGCATTTGTGATTTAAATAATGTAGTATTGGCAACATTAATAATATGATTAATGCAGTCATTTCTGATTCCATCTTTACAATTCCCATAAAGAGTATTTTTTGACAGTTGTTATACAATGTTTGGCTGTATATGAGTAGGAACTCTTCCTTATACAAAGTAAGGGGACAAAATGTATTTGTTTTGCAATCAATATTCAGGTACTACACAGTAATTTTTAATAAGTTTTTAGATAAACCACGTACAGATAGACCAGTAAGATGAACCATCTTACTGGTCTAAAAAATGGTTTTATGGAATTTTGTATACATTTAACAAAATATAATATTTTATTCTTTTTGAATCGTCTATTTTCAACGACCGTGATACCATCATATTAAAGTAACATGCATCTAGATTCAGATGCAGATTTTGTAGATGTTTTAATATTAATAGAAAATTCAAACACAAATATTTGCTTTCGTCAAATTAATAATTTTATTCCAGGCACATTTTTTGTCTTCGTCGCCCTCGTGCGGTAATATTTATTAGGTTATGACGTCATAGTTTAGTATGGTTTTATCCCTGTCTCACGATTTTGAATTTTCATACTTCAATAAATTATTGAAATATTTAATTGTTCTTTAAAATAGCATATTGGAATACCAAACAAACGCGCATAATATTTTTAAATTTGTAAGCAAATTTCATGTCTCAGTCGACAATTTTATATCGGTCATTGCTGATATAAATATCAATGATATATTTCCATTCAGCAAATAAAAAATATAACAGAAACACAATAATCACAATAAACACAGTAAAATAAATATTGTTAGTTAAAACTATCAATCAGTCGTTTTGATATGTTAAAATATACTTAACGAAAATCTTATTGAACTTTAAATAATAAATATTTTGATAATTCTTTCATTTGTCAAATGCTATCATTATTATTGTGCATCTAAAGAAGCTACAATAGAATGAGTCCTGATTTTTATATAAATTAAAATATAAATAAGCCAGAGATTTTCAAAGTGGTCGATATCCCCTTGGGGTCCAAGTCGGATCTTTATATACCACCCCTATATGGTAGTTTTGAAAATAAGTCACGAAATTACACAAAAACTAAAATTTACATTGTAATAAACATACATTCTGATTTTGAGTCTTAAAATAGCACGATTATCTTATTGTCTTAAATTTAAAAGACGCGATTTTTTGTCTGTATGTCACGTGACTTAAAACACGTCCCGCACTATGTGACGTCACTGTGACGATAACTGTCAGATTAGTCATAAAGATATACCTATTAATTATATATCAAATTCCTAGATGGCGATGTTCTTGGCTTATTTATATCTTTTATTTCATAATCGATCTTTATATGGTGTTATTCTTGTTTTATTGACATTTTTTAATCTTCTACTCTATACAACTGTTTTATGCATAGAGTTAATGTTTGGTGTATCACATATCATAATGACGTCATGAACATGACGGACAGTCTTTCGCGGGTGTAAAAAAAGTTTAAATTTTGATTTAATTTTAAGGCAACAAAACGTGTTTATTTTCCCGTAATATTTGTTTTAAGGCATTTTTAAATAAAAATAAACAGTTACAACTATTATATCAAACAGAGTAAAGAACCCTATTAATACAAGGTCGTATTTGAAATTTTCAAGATTAACGAGACACATTTTATACATATGTTATGTGTAAAATCTTGTCATAAAAATTACTAATATTCATGTAGGAATGTAGATGTCCATGTATTTCTACGTAATTTGAATTGACAATCGGTCAGTTAAACAAACGTCCATTAAAGGTTTAATGACACCTTTAAGCTTTAATGAATGTCAAATTTGCATGGGTAATGTTGCTTTCAACTAATGACAACTAATTTTAATAGAATAGCAACTGGCTCAATAACGCTTCATTATTACTGAATTTAATGTCTGCTTCTTTTGTTGAAATAATGATATTAAGTTTACTCACTAAACCAACCGGAGTGTTTGTAGTTGTTAAGTATTTCGTATCAATAGGAATACAACTGGCGATATATTCTAGAGTATTTTGGCTACAGATGTTTGAGGTCCCAGTTCATTTTGGAAAATGGGTTTAAGAAATTATTTTGGTTAAGCCCAAAATAATTTGGGAAACACTGATCTAAGCGATTTCTTTCTAATAATTCTTGATATTGATGAACCCCTTTGGAAAAAATTTAAATCCTGAGATTAACTAAACGAAACTTTAATTAGTGAATATCTAATAAAAGCATTATTTCTCTGTTATGTCGTAAAATATGGCGTGTAACTGGCAAAATACTCTATGGCACTTCAATCCTATGGCACTTTGATCTATAAAGATTTTCACTATGGCACATTTTGTTTTGTCAATTTCCTTTGAATAGATAATTGATCATGCAGAGTTATACAAGTTTGAATCAATCGAATAAAAGCTTTATGTCTAGGACATAAGAGTAAAGATCACTATGCATTATGAAGATCGATTTATTCTTGTGTTTAATAAAACATTTTTAATGCATATTTTTATATTTGTCTTTTCTTTTTATATAAAGAGACTTAAAGAGATATCCGATAATAAAAAAATAAATAAAATTGAAACCTATACAATTTATCAGTGATGTAAAGTATTCGCACCTGTCTACTTTATTTATAAAGTAATGATAAAGAATGAATGAACAAAAATTTTAGCCACATTCCAGATTAAAATTGTAATATATTATCAATTTTTTTTAAAGAAGTTTTTCTTTATAAGTAAACTATCGCACCCAGAAATAATGCTCGTCGATATACTTAACGTCAAAACTCAGTCACATCACTTTGGTATTCGTTTAATTGGCAAGATGTCAAACGATATGATACGTAGTGCCGCTCACTAGTTGATATCGATGTTTTTTTATCTGAAAAAAAAATATATATTTTCATTGTTTTTCAATTATAACGATCATGAGACCACAGTGAAGGAGAGAGTGTGTTTAGAACAAGCTTGTTGAAATGGCCAGCGAAACGAGACAATCACGATGAAATAAATTCTCAGAGATTCAAAACATTTTAATTTCGAGAAATTTTAACAAATTTTAATTTCAAATTTAAAAAAATATTTGAATTTAAGGAATAGTATTCGTTAGGAGAGTTTATTAAAAATCATACTGGGAATACGATAAAAAATGGCGGTTTTAGGCAAGAATAATTCTAACTTACGTTCTAATTTTTTTGTTCAACGAATCCCGAAGAATGATGTCCCCACTTATTACGAAATGATAACCTTCGTCAACAATGGACGACATTATAATGTATCTCTGTAGTATTTTTATTTCATTTCGCCGGCCTTGCTTAAGGAAAACTGATACATACATACTGCAATAGAAAAAATGTGTATCTCGAGTGTGTCGCACTCGAGATATTTATAACTGATTTGTACTACTTATGATGTCGTAATATTTCTATATATATAAGGTTAATTGTATCATTGTACTAACTTTATAGTATAGTCAAATAAAGACTATTTATTGTAATTTATGAAGTCTAAATTATTTATCAATTAAAATGTTAGAGTAACTGGGTTTAGACAATAATAAATAACAGGCTCGGATCTACGACTTTTTTTTTATCGGGGCAGAAGCTTCTACGGAGAGTGGGGAGAGGAGGCTACGCTTCGTGAAACTGGATTTCAAATTCTAATTCTTTTGCAGTGCATGATATTTTTTATTATTTCATTTAGGGATTATGAAACATGTACGCCCCATCGGAGTCTGTAATATGTATGAAGAAATTTGTAAAGCTCGTTGTTTTAACTTTAAATAGGTAGATATCCTATAATGATGCCCGGGGCCAGTGCCCCCTCTTGCCTCCCTTGATCCGGGCCTGATAAATAATATGAAATTATTTGTATCCAATAATAAAACAAAAAAGGATTGTCATTTTCACTCCCAGCAAAGACATCAAGTTATCATAATTTGAAATGCAGTTACGTTATTATACGTAAGATGTGTTGATATTATTACCTGTGTTCAATGTGTTTAGTTTGTGTGGCGAGCGCTGTGCTGGCGAGAGCGAGACAGCAACAGAGCACGCTGCTCAGTATCGCGTTAGTGTCGCCCACACCCCTAAGTATAGCCGCGCCCATGTACGCCACAGACAGAATTAGACCGTGCGCAGTACACCTAAGATATATTATCGACTGTTAGGCTGCATTCAAAACAAAGGTGACCAACCCTATGGCTGCAGTCTCTACAGATTTTGTGGTCTTTAAGACAGATGAATAGATAACTCTTTATTGTTAACAATACACTATTTACAGATACAAACATATAGAAGATATAATTAGATTGCATAAAAATTGGCGGCCTTATCGCTCGTTTAAGACAACTTGTGGATGGAGCAAGAGATAGCATAATAACGGAGACGAGGGTGTAAATGTTATCAACAATATTTAAGACATACAATTAAGTGCTAACAATGAATATAAACACACAAAATACATACCTAAATACTAAATATATACATAAATATAATCGTAGAGTTCAATGACTGAGCTGTCAAACTCAATCGCTAGGAAACTAACGAATGTCGCTAATTTGACAGTTGAACTCGGTTCGCGCCTAACAAATAACAATATAGTTAGCTGTAGAGACTTGCATTAATCATTAAGTTACGAGCGCTATGAGTTAGCGATCGAAAACCGTAAGATAGCGATCACAAACTCTATCGAGACTGCAGCCCCTAGTGTGAATATTAATCTAAACATTATTTTTATAACATTAAATGATGTATCATGATAAAATTTTCTTATCGCTTTTAAGACGTGTTGTGTGATTATGAAAAAGAAAACTTAGTTTATGAAATCGAAAATAAAATTCATGTTTTAAAAATATTATGAATCATAAATCACGAATGTTTAGTCGAAATTGAATGAGAATATCTCACTGCAATTTAAGAGCTTTTCGTGCAAGAATAAAAGTGCTTATATACTAGTTAGTGATGAGTGTTTACGTTATATGTTTCACACGCAACATAATTATTGAAATTCATAAGCTATTGCATTATTAACACAGGATGGGCCTTACCTCAAATTCGCCGGGTAAGTCTCTAGGACTTTAAAGCTGACTATGTAAAATATTAGTGTGATGAATAGGCGGTACACTGCCTCTACTATATATAGTGCCGTCTCACTCTGCACTATGTAAAGCGAGGGGGATAGTAACAAGCACGCTGCGCATAGGTACACTGGAACAAAATTTATAAGCATTATTATTTTACTATCAAAGTATTATGAACCAAAAAAAAAAAAAACCATTTCAACTTTGCCATTAAAATTATAGTAGTTTTGAATTTAAAGGCATATCTTTAGGTGCATATCTGATTGAAGATCCTTCGCGAATCGTCGGTTACGAAACGTCAGAACTGACAAATATATGATATGACATTGAACCTTAAACACTCATCCACAAGGGCAACACCATTAATTTAAGAAGAAGAAGAAGACGGATGATCCGTCAAGTACTAACATACTTTAACGAAGTCTTCACTTAACATCGCTTCTGAATGTCTGACGGGGCATATACAATAATAATATCTGATACTAACTCGGTGACGTAGTGGATAAGCGCCGCGGCCCACGATCGTTGTTGTTAAGCGACTATCGCAAATGTCGGTCACGGGACCAAAAAATAATTATCTCGGGCTACACAGAGCTCCAGAAGGCACGTTAAGTCATTGGCCCTGGCTACATTTGTAGTCTAATACCCTCCAATCTGCATTGGGTCAGCGTGGAGGGTAATGGCCCATTCTCCTCAACCATCCAAAAGGAAGGCCAGAGCCCCTGCAGTGGGGACCTTATTGGGCCGATGATGATGGTGACGAACTTTACTAAATATATATTTGAAAAGAAATACATTATTATTTTCAGATTTAATTTATCTAGCTTTTCGGGCAAAGACATAAAAATGTAACAGGCTCCTCGTAACAAATTACGCCCTCTATTATAATTGTAAACTTTCTTATTTTATAATTGTAAAAAAGTATTATTGTAAACTTTCTTGGGAAATGTAATAAATACAAAAACAAAATGACACCCTCTGTTGTCTAATAACGGTATGAGTTGGCTATCGTTTCTAGTTGGTAAAAGTTAATAGGTTTGTTGGCGCGGCGTAGCTATGCTAGTGCTAGTGTGCCGCTGACCTATAGCTCGTAGGTGTTTCGGACTGACCTATAGCTCGTGGGTGTTTCGGACTGACCTATAGCTCGTGGGTGTTTCGGACTGACCTATAGCTCGTGGGTGTTTCGGACTGACCTATAGCTCGTGGGTGTTTCGGACTGACCTATAGCTAGTGGGTGTTTCGGACTGACCTATAGCTCGTGGGTGTTTCGGACTGACCTATAACTCGTGGGTGTTTCGGACTGTCCTATAGCTCTTGGGTGTTTCGGACTGACCTATAGCTCGTGGGTGTGTTGGCGCGGCGTAGTCCTGCTAATGCTAGTGTGTTGGACTGACCTATCGCTCGTGGGTGTGTTGGCGCGGCGTAGTTCTGCTAATGCTAGTGTGTTGGACTAACCTATCGCACGTGGGTGTGTTGGCGCGGCGTTGTCCTGCTAATGCTAGTGTGTTGGACTGACCTATCGTTCGTGGGTGTGTTGGCGCGGCGTAGTTCTGCTAATGCTAGTGTGTTGGACTAACCTATCGCACGTGGGTGTGTTGGCGCGGCGTAGTCCTGCTAATGCTAGTGTGTTGGACTGACCTATCGCTCGTGGGTGTGTTGGCGCGGCGTAGTTCTGCTAATGCTAGTGTGTTGGACTAACCTATCGCACGTGGGTGTGTTGGCGCGGCGTTGTCCTGCTAATGCTAGTGTGTTGGACTGACCTATCGCTCGTGGGTGTGTTGGCGCAGCGTAGTTCTGCTAATGGTAGTGTGTTGGACTGACCTATCGCACGTGGGTGTGTTGGCGCGGCGTAGTTCTGCTAATGCTAGTGTGTTGGACTGACCTATCGCTCGTGGGTGTGTTGGCGCGGCAGCGACGGCAGCGGCTAGCAGCATGGCGTGGGCGGCGTAGCTCTGCTCGGCCACGAGTCCCGCCAGCGAGGACGACAGGTCCGCGCGGCATCCGCCCCGCATGCCGCGGATCACGGTATTGCGGAGTACACACCACTCGTCCAACTCGCGACCCATCTCGATGTCCGAGTCTATTATACTAAACACGACAGTAAACATTGTTTAATACTAGCTGTTTACTAAATAAAAAAAATAACTAAATTATAGTCTGTACCGTGCCGAGTTGCCGTGTAAATTATAGCCTGTGCCATCCGTTAATGATACAGTAGGTGAAGAATTTTTTAAATCGTAAAGTAGTTTGGAATCATATTCATACAATAAACAAACAATCAAACCTTTCCACTTTGTAAGTGTAGTGGGAGATTTTTTAGGTTGTTTACCATAACAATTGGTCGATTATCGATCGACATCGGTCGCTGATGTTCATGCGGTGTGATAGCTTTAAATGATCGAAGAATACCGGGCGATAAACAATTGATCGAAAATAAAGACTCAAAAGTGTTGCCAAGAAATCTATCGGACGACGGTCAAAAATCAAAAACTAAAATGTTGTTCTATTGATAGTTTTCCTATGGAGTTGCTATGCGTAATACTCAATTCAGGCACTGGATAATAAAAACTAGAAATTCTAGAGTCAAGCTTACTTGATTCGACATTATACTGAACGTGGACGTCGGCCTTTAGATTAGTATGGCTCTAATTATTGCTAAACTTCTAAGAGCGAGCGGTAATACAATACTTAGTCCTTTATGCGCTGAAAGAGCACAACAGTTGACATAGATTTGGCAATGATAATGATGACCTAAGAATTTCACGACATAGACTAGACAGAAGAAATATTGAAATTATTGAACAACTGATGTTCAAACTAGTCTCTGTATCCCCAGGGGTCGTAGAAATAGAAAGTGGGGTGTCGTAAAAAATATTCTATGCTGAATGTGGAGCGCTGTTTCTTTTTTAAGGCTTTGCCTTGTATAAAGTAGTGAGAACATAAACAAAATCACTTACGTAGTATTTACAAAACTGCAACCAAAGAAACCAGTATTCGAAGTCTTGATGTTCGCGAACGCTACGCCTGCGAACGAACAGTTCCTAAAGGATGCGCGCGACATTAACATGTCTCTGAACGTGCACTCCACGAATGTTACGTTCGCGAACTCTATGTTCTCCAGCGTTTGGTTGTAAAGCTGTTTCTCGTACGTTGCGTTCTGTTCGATATGTTTCGACGCTTCCAGAAGAGCGTTCTCTTTCGCCACCACTGTTGCTGGCACATACGACGATAAATAGAACTAAAACAATCAATTTTATAATAAATACAGTAAGATAACTATAAATATTGTATAGATGAAGTAGGGAAGATATAAAGCTACCTGATAGAGGAAATATACTGCCCTTCTCTCTCTACGAACGCATACACAGTAATCAACAGCTATAAACATTTATTGTTTAATCAATTTTGCATTCACAATGTTTCTTTTGCTTTTCATATTCCCAATTATTTATTTATATTTAGATTTTTATTATTTTATAGAAACATACATAAAACTAAGCCGTCAATATCGACCACAGATAGGGTAATGCGATGTTGTCTTTGTAACCAGGGGACAGCTAGAGATCTAGCTATCTTCCTCTATCAATAAAACCTTACCTGTATAGCTAGCATAAAAAGCATGACACCGCCTAGTGAAAGAGTAGTACTCCTGTAGGCGCCAGAGAACAGCTGGAAGAACGCTTGCCAAAACTGTGGACCAATATGATTATAACTTGTAATATACACATAATTTATATCACAATACAAATGTGACCCCACAGGGGGCGCGATGTCTAGTTTGGAAAACGATGGAGTATAGTATAATTATAGCCTATATTGTTCTTACAGTCTACTACTTCATTGGCGGTGTTCCACTAGAATATTAAACTCGCCTTGTTAGTTATTAAACGATAAATAAGTTAGTGTCGGTTAAATTTTGCAAGCTAAATTTGAACCATTTCTCGCTTTTCGATAGAGCCAATACACATATAACTTGGATGACAATGCAACGTTAATTTGGAATGCAGCTGATCTGATACCTCTGAGATTGTGTCCAGAGCTCTCCTTACAGGATTATCATAATAATTAAACGGATAAGCCTTATTATGTACCCAAAGCTGTGTTTAAAATATAACTGTTTAAAACATGACCTCAAAAAAAATGTTTTTGAAACCACTTTTTGTTTTGATATTAATAACATAAAATTTATCGATAAATATGAGATTTATAATCAATTTTTTTTATATTTCTGTCTGAGACTGTCTAGTTTGGTCCACGATAACGAATTAACGTGTTTTTATAAAGAAAATTTCAATAAAAAAAAATTACACATCTAGTATTTAATGTTGTTTGAATTGATACTAACCATTTTGACGCTGTGCCGCACGTGATGTAACGCGGGCGCCCTCCGTTTGCCGGGTAAAGCAAGTTCTCCGAGTCTGTATTCAGAGTCAGCACGACCCACTTGAGACTTTCCGCATATACGAAACTGGTTGCCGGTGTGAATGTTCTGTCACAATATAAAAAAAAATAATCTATAGGAACTGTTTTAAAAAAAATCGGAGATGTGGTGGACTTAGGAACACAGATTCTTTTGCTATTTTGAGAAAAATAGATAATTAGATATTAATAGAGACAAATCATTCTTTTAAGTAAAAAAAAAAATCAGTTCTCAGTTGTATTTAAAATAATGGTATGGATTTGGATTGGAGAGACTTTTTGTTGATCCCATACTACGGTTACGGCTACTACAATTAGAAGTCACAAGTATATATATTACTATACTAACATCACATTACAAATGATACTTTTATTCAAAATTGATTTGTTTGCTACATGTCCTAGTGCTGCTATCTGTGTTTTGTGTAATATTTCCTAATATCATTCACAGCTATTAGTTTTTGAAGTGTAAATGAAATTTGTTTCGTTCATCTCATTCGGCTCGGGGTAATCTACTTACATGATATACACCCATAGCGTCGACTTCTCTGCCCACGTCTAGAAGGTAACGTGGTGATTCCGGCGTCCATATTAAACTGATCAAAGAAGCTAATATCGGCAAAGTGCACAGCAGCAGATAACTGAGGACAAGAAACTAATATTGTTACATTCAATGCCTAGATGATATGTCTAGACAATTTTTTTTTAAATTATGTATGTCTAGATTTAAGATTTTTTAAAATACCATATTAACAGTAATATGTATCGTAGTATTTAGTATTAGGGGAGAACGTCAATCTCTTATTAAAATAATTACAGCAAAAATACGGGTGTAGACGGTAAACGAAAATAAATACATACATATTTTTTTTTTCTTGTAGTATTTAATATACTATCTCCGATAATCACAGTATCATGCTTATTTTATTTATAATATTATTAAAATTAATTATGAATAAACACAATATTTTAAGGAAGATGTCATAAATTTGACTTTGACATTGACATACATAGAACGATGTTTTTTGTTGATATTGTTTATGTTAGTTTCAGAGGGCTATGGCGTAACATGGATACCATGATAGAGGTTAGTGTTTTAGCGTGAAATTTTAAACATCAATTTTATTATTAGATTTTAAATTAATATATTAGGTCCTTACATATCAAATTGGTGTTTGGTATGGGAGGAACAAAAAGTAGAATATTTTTTAATATAATATATTTATTTAATCAAAATATAAACCATTGTTATCTTTGCACTTTTGCCATCTCATAGGTAGTTCATTCATTGATCCCCTTACTAAAAAAAACATTTGGACGGGAATCAATAAAATCTTTGAAGGCGATTTGCACTGCCCCATCGGAGTTGAATTTTTTCCCTTGCAAGAAGTTATGCAAATTTCGTATCCGCAGCACTGGTATCACGGTAGAACTCCTATTCGTAAATAACACGACATTTCAAGTTTTCCATTTTTTATACTGGGTAACGTAAATAGGACAAACAGAAGAAAACAAATGTATGCCGCCTAACGAAACACAAATACATGTGTAAATTACTGTTTTTGAATTTGGAATTCCCGACCAAGGAGGAGAAATTTGTGATTAAAAGTGGCTAGTACGACAAAACACCAATTTCATATGTAAGGACCTAATATAAGAGATATATTTTATTAATATATTCCAAGTATATCTACAGAATAAAAATATTTTAAATAAAATCGTCTACACACGTGTTACGTAGATCACTGTGAGCGTAGACTATGAAGGTGAGTGGCGCGAGTGTAAATTATAGCCATGAGTGCTGTAAGTGTAGTGTGGTGGTGAGTGCTGTGAGTGTAGACTATGATAGTAAGTTGACTGTGACGGTGAGCGCTGTAAGTGTATATTATGGCGGTAGATGTTTGTGAAATGAAATGAAAATATCTTTATTCAAGTAGGCTATTACAAGCACTTTTGAATCGTCCAAAAAACTTTTTTCCCCTACCACTTGTTCAGGACGTCTTTTAGCTGACAAGAAGAACAAGCGAAAGAAACTTACCAGCTTTTTATCATAAGTTATGAAATGACATTTACATAAATCATGTCATTACCAAAATAATATGTATTATCACAATAGTAAATACAACTTTCAAAGTCTGCAGGACATAGGTTGAACGTGAGTGCTGTAAGTGTATATTGTGGCAGTAGGTGTTATGACTGTAGTGTTGTAACACTGACCGGTGCCACGCGCTGAAGTGCTCCCGGTCCTCGAGCAGCGTGTCCGCGCCGGTGGGGGGGAGGGCGGCGCGCGCGAGTGCCGCCGCGCTGAGCGCGCCCGCGCCCGCGCACAGCGGCAGCGCGGCCAGCGCGCGCCGCCTGCACAGCCGCGGCACCGTCTCGTAGGCGTACGAGTAGCACGCGGGCGTCACACCACCAGAACCTATCGCCGAACAGAACCTGACACGCAGACAAAACGTAATCATTAGCGGGAGCATTTTGAAATACCTGAAGATTTTCGGTGTTAAGAATAGGGATGACGACTGATTTTTGTTTGTTTGAGCGTCAGGTAGATCGTTGATAAATATTAAACACAATTTCTTTTTTTGTAATCTTTTAATTACGGCGAATTTTCATCCAGTCGTCATCGTCAACAACGATGACGTGCCACAGCGCTTATTCACTATGCCACCGAGCTAAAACCGAGCAAAATTTAATCAATACAAAGTTAGAGTCAAAGTACTTAAAACTTTACAAAAACAGATCAACAAACTCAAAGTGCGGTCATTTCATCTGATCTGTTCACCAGATTTGACCTCTAAACTTTTTAGATATTTTCTAAAGAGAAAAATAATAATTCAAATACAAATTCACAGCTCAAAATGTCGAAATCAACCCAAAATAATATCTAAAGTTAGGACTCGTTCTTACTTATAACTTACCTGGCCATCATGAAAGTCCCATAAGTGGGCATGAACGCTGCAACCGCTGCAAAAACGGCATTCACTGCTAAACTGGACAGTAATGTACGTCGTCGACCCAACCGTTCACATAGAGCGCCCCATCCCACGCTGCCCAGCGACGCGCCCACTAAGCTGATCAAGACTGCACGAAACAAAATAATGCAAAAAGTATTATTGTCACAACTGGCTACTTGACAGTTACAACAATAAATTATGAAATATCGGAATCGTAACTTATATGTAAGGATATATCTATGTAGTCTTATGTTTTTAATAAACTATATTTAATAGAAATGAATTTTGATTTATAATCTGATAACAAACACCGTAACGAAGCATTGTGTGACGTCACATTTCAATCAATTAAACTTCAATGTATTTTTTGTGAGTGCAAACAGGACTCATGTTTATTAAAATGTGATGTCATAGTTCAAATTGTTTTTGTGGGAAAATTTTAATTCATTCTATTGAATAAAACATATTTTTCCTTTGGAGAAAATTAAGTCTTGATAGTGGTTGAATATGATCATATGAAAGTTTTAAAACACTTTTCTCAAAACAGTCAAGTAGTCTATAATATGTAGCGACTTTCACACTCAGTTAGTACATGCAAGATCTACCGTCCACAATTCGAATTAATTATAATAAAATTTGTATCTAAAAGGTTTACATACCAAGCCAACTCTTCTCGTGGCGCAGTATGCATAACTCGATTTCAGCGGAGGGTAGTATGAAAGGAATAGCAGCCAGTTCAAGTGCCGACCCGCCAATAGCAAGTCCGCACGCGAGCAATACACGCGCCTGTGACAATCCACAACCCGCCTGGACGGATGGAAAAAAATAATGTTTTACCAGGTAAATAGGTCATAGCTAGGCAGAGCACAAATAAAATTGGTGGTCATTTGTGGTCAGAATTCACAAAATGTTTTTTTTTTATTGTCTATGGTTAATTATGGAGAGTTCGGTGCGTTGGTACTCAATATTCAATTCAATACAATAAATTACAGACCAATAGTAATCTCTCGGTATCACCGATTCGTTTGATGGCAGTAGCGATCGACTTATACTTGCCCCCAAATCAAATAATAATAAAAATAATACTGACCTGCTTGAGGGCATCTTCGTGAAACTGTTCTAGTACGCTACAATCGTTGTAGTCGAGCAGCTCGCCACTCTCGTTACTCTCGGTGGTGTGATCGGGCGCGCTGGCAGCCATATTGACGGTGTTGCCAGGTTCGCCTGCACCTTCTGTCGCTGGAATACATCACAGTTTTAGGGTGAATTCATATGGAAACATGGGCGTATCTAGAGTCATCTTCCAGTGGGAATTGGAGTGGGCCCTCCTAGCCATAGGATACGATTTCTTTATGATGTTATGGCGATATTTCGTTTAATTTTACTATTTTGACATGTCCTTTGGCGGATATACAATGAAATTGGTATCACTGCTGTCAAATCTAATAATCATCATTCTTTAGTCGTAATAAAAGTACATCGCCAAGCTGTCGTGCCTTATGACTAGACTTGAAGTTAAGGTAAGAAAATCGCCGCTGTGTGTGTGTGTAGGTGGGGGGGGGGGTTGTCTTCTGTTTATTCCTCCTCAAGCAAGAGTTAAGGAAAGGGAGCTTAACACAAAATAATTCAAATTCTCATTCCTGCACTGCCAATTGCTACCACTTCGAGATGAATTAAGCATAATTCATAAGTAGAACAACGATAATAAATATATTAAATAAAAATAATCAAATTGTTAACACTATTAAGGTAAATTGTGATTGTAATTTTAAATAATTATTTTATTTATTATCATAACATCATTATATTATCAGATGGCGTTTTAGTAATTCAATCATCACCTCATTTAAAATTTAAATTAGATAGGAAAAAACATATTGAGGCAGCAGCGAAGGATGCACTATAATTAAACTTAAATATATATAAACATAACTATCATATTTTCACAGGACAATGTATTTAAAATCGTCCAACTCCCATTTGACATTAGAGCATAATTTCACTCAGAGAAGTATATTAGGTTATAAGTAAAGGAGTTCTTTTTGCAATGAATTTTTAGCCTAATTATTAACAAACTTTGGCCCTAAAATGAATTGGAACACTTTTAGTCTTTAGTAATAAGCCTGAATTGGTCTTGATTGTACCAATTAGAGGATTATCTGACCTGTAAGTCTGTCATCTGTGTACGCCATTGTCCGAGAGATTGAGCCGAAGCTAAGCTTAGATGAAGTCTCAGAGTCGGACCGAGCGCGCACCAAGCACGCTTGCTCTTCCATTTTCGCTTTTTCTAACTGTGGCCTCTGTAACCCGTAACATCTGTAAAAATATATTTAAATAAGGGTACTGTTATAGGAAAGTAAATATAAAAGGTCAGCTATTTGTAATCAAAGGCCAATCAATGGGGGTGTATTGTCAAGGGTGGTAAAATTAGTATATAGATACCAAACATTCGCTTCGAGAGTGCCATCAACGACCATTTCAAAATGACGTCATAGGCTAGGCACATCAAATAGTATGTTCGACAAAGAAATAATAACATATTTTACATCAGTTTCATGGTTTCAACAATGTTCATCAAATAGGTGAAAAGAGAGACATGTTTTTATCTTCATATTTCCTAGAGTTCCAGAGTGGTGACCCCAGACGATGGTATCTGCACCAGCATGGCCATCGCAGCAGAGTGGAAGATACCGGACGGAGGTAAAGACAGGATGAGTCGCACACAAGATCGCCAGGAGTAAAAGAGGCCTATATCCAAAACTCACCAAAAGGCCACTGTGATTATAATGAAATATGAAGGGTTGTTTTATAATAAATTTATTTCAAGGAAATAATAAAAACAGTATTACACTACGCCACGTATTCGACGACATATGGACTTGTCAACCATAACCAGCCCTGCAAATCTGTAAAAATTCAAACCCGAATTCGAATCCACTTAGGTGTCCGAATTCACTTCAAAAAGCGGCATCCGCTCAAACTTGAATTGGTAATAACGTTTCGTGGCATAAGTGAAGCGAGTTTCGAAATGATATAGGATTAAAATATCTGAGACACGTATAATCAATCGGCTTTGTTTAGTGTTTTTCTGCAAAAAAGGAATCAATAGAATTTCTACTCTAAATGACGTGAATTCGGACACATGAGTGAATTCAAATTAGGGTCTGGATTTTTACAGAATCGCAGGGCAGAGCTGTAACTTTTATTCAAGAAGGACATTCATAGCGTTCTGTAGCTCTACAGTTTGGCTATTTACGAAGAGCAATCCCAAATGATTGGATTTGTTTTCAAGAGTGGTATCCAGAAGACGAGGATCAGGCAGAATTAGAGCCACCACGTCACAAGAAGACTGTTATGCTTGACTGCGCAAAAAGAGCATTTTACCACCATTCGCTGCATAGACAATCGTTTGCGGCAAGCGACAGGTACTGTTAGTGACCAAACAATAATAACCAGTTGCATGAAGACCATCAGTTTTTCAGATGATGTAAAGTGCTCATCATGCAAACTATTTAGAGTACACAAGGCAACATCTTGAAGATGATTTAAGTGGTTGGAGGCACAGTGTTGTTTCTCACATCTGATGAGAGTAAGGTGAAAATTTTGTGATGATAAGCTCATTAGGGTTTGGAGAAGGTTAGTGATTTTTGGCTGCATGCAAAAGTGACAGATTCAGGGGTTTCAATGTAATGGTGTAGGGAGGCGTCACTATTGAGTAGAACTAAGCTAGTAATTCTAAACAGAGGCACTGTAACAGCTCTTCTTCTTCTTTTTTAATTCATGGCCTATTTGCATTTACACAATTCCGCCAATGTCACGTTTGTGGCCTTTACACGTAAAAAAAAAACAATAAGAAAATATGTCAGTTTTGAATTTAAATAAAATAAAAAGGCTCTGAGCACATCTATCTGATTATATTGTTAAATATAATACAAGTAGAATGTATACAGGAAACAAAGATATTTATAAATTAAGACTATTACTGATTGCAAGGAATTTAGATAAAATTTTGAATGGGTTGGGTTTCTCCATACTCAAGATACATTTTATATTTGTTGGATGTGGAACTTTTGATGGGAGCAAATCATAAAGAGTAATGGATAAATTTGGACAATTAAATAAAATATGATTGCAGAGAGGGTTGATACATTGAAGAGGTTGTCAGACGTGATGTGGTGCCTTTTGCTCAGAAAATTGGTGCAATATTGAAGTAGCACACACCGCTTGGGCCACCAAGGCAGTTTTATATGTTTACTCTGGTTACTTTGTGAGCCATGTCTGCTATATTCCATGCTGGACATACAAAGTGCTAGAAGGTATCACTCCAGCTTAGTGAGGTAATAATTATTGTTAGAAGTCAGTACTGAATTAAATTCAATGTGGATTTGTACTAGGTTCCCTGTTCAAAAACTATGAGCTGTTTGGAAAACCGGGACATTTGCAATGCTTTACTTTTAATAAACCACCTATGCTTTATTAAGGGACTTTAATCCATCTGATCGGAATGGTATGTCACTTTGATCTTAGACACATTATGTATTGTATCAATAAAGAAGAAATCAAACTTATTTTCATTAAAGAAATAAAACCTTACAGACAATAAACACAATGAAACTGATATTTACTCACCAGTATGTACCCACAAACAAGAAGTTATTTGCTATTGATATTGTATAGTTATGTATTGTACCATTATTAACACACTTTGAGTGCTGGATCGAATTTGTTTAACATTCTATTAATATACTAATGATAAGCCTGTCAAATTCTATCTCTATGAACACAATTATAATTAAGCACCATGCTATAAACTGGTTTTTTTAAATTGCACTACACTGTAATAGTTCTATCTAAGCTAGCTCGTACCTAGATAGAACACAGGATGAAGTAATCATGGGTCAACCAATTTGATAATTCCCTTAGTAATCTTGTTAGGTACGTACAATTTATTCACCAGAATTTAAAAGATAAAACACCAGTAGTGTTTACTCACTAAACAATATTTAAATATCGGCTTATTTATAGAAGCAAAAGATAAAATAAGATAAAAGATTCATATAAATTATCAGTAAGACAAAGATCGTGACAGAGACTGTGAATTACATCTTAACTTACTGTTTAAGTTTATTCCACTGAGGAAAATTATATTTCAACGACTGTCTAACTATTAAATCTACATTAAATACAACTCTACTTTTAAAAATAAACTCAAATTTTGGCACGAAAAAACTATATTTTTAAAAATATTCAAGAGCGACAGTATCAGTATAGAATACGACATACGCGTTTGTTGTGTTGTTCAATAAATATAAGACGATTAAATTTAAAAGATGTAACGAAAATATTTTTTTATTTCAAAACATGTATTACGAAAGGCATAAAAGCTAGTTTGAATACATACAATATCGTTTAAGTATTTTCATTGTAGCCGGTTAATAATTAAAAATAAAAATGTCATTTTTGAATGAGTGAATATATACAGAGTTTATCGTAAAATCGATATGCCCATATCAAGTGTAAAAGTTAATAATGTAAATGTTATAGAATGAGTTATAATATCAACAAATTATTGGTAAAATTTACGAGAAATTGACAGGAAATTCTAATAAAGCTTTTTGATAGTGAGAGTAATCATAAAGATAGTAATTTAAGCAAATAAAGAAAATCAAATGCTAGAACAAAATCACCACTTACAATTTTGAAGCATTAAGCAAGCTATTGAAGTTTCTTAATAATTATGTTGTCTTTTTAATAATATAGAAAGCGGTGCTACACTGCTGCTGACTAATACCGGAATATATTACATTGTGATATTATGGCCTGTGTTGTGTGCAAAATTTGCAATAATTTAATTCAACTGCTTAGCACCTGCTGCACTTTTTATGTAATTCAAAGCACTAATGCTTTCTATTTTGAAATATGGTAATTTCTCCGAAAGTATATGCATGTGGAATATGTATATAAATACACATTTCGCGAGTAACACATTCACCCAATTTCGCAATACTAGCTTTATAATAAATTGTCAAAGAACTGTGTCATGCGCGTTGAGATGTGTAGTAGGTCAAATAGGCAAACTTCTTATTTCAAAAGTAATATTTAAAAGAAAAAAGTTAAATTTATAATAAATGGAGCAGCAAATTACTGAAACTTACTTTATTATAAATAAATAATATACTTAATTTTGTTGAACGATCAGAAAAAAAACAGGAAGTAAGGAAATTTCGTCTCATGTGTACCCTTAAATTTAGCAAGGTTTAAGGTCAAGGTTTTTACCTTGATGTCATACTTAAACTGTAAATTTACGTTATATTTTATTTATTATTCAAACTTATGAAGGAGTTCAATGTCATTTATTCAATCTCATTAAAATTAAACTCTTCATTCATTTCAATTCTATTCTATTCTGAGCCCCGACAGTGGGGAACATTAAAAGGCTGGTGTTGATGATGTATCTGTATACTTATTTAGTATTTACAAATTTTATTTTAAAACTGGTGTCTAATTAACTGGGATTAGACGAAGATTAAACTTATTTTTAATATCTATCTGATTTAAATTACCTAATAAATTTTTAGTATATTTATGGTAAATGTAGACATTAAAAATGTACAAATACTTAAAAATGTGACGGATATATCTCAAGACAAAATTTCTATATTAATCTTATTGTGATAAATGAATTATCGATTTGTGAAACACGCAATGCGCAGAACTTGTTTGCACTTGCGCAGTATAGTTCTCAATGTATTTCTAAATTATCTTTCTTGAAGCACAAAATAATGAAATCTAAATCTAAAATATAAAAAGATCTTTTTTTTTTCATTAAAATAAATCGATATTAAACCATCTTTTTATTTTATTCGCTCACATTTATTCTCTCTTCTCTACTTTTTATTCTTGTGATTTGTTTTCAAAATGTGATTGTCAGTGTCATGAATGTCAAAAAAAGCGCCAAGTTGATTTGTATGCCAAAAAAGCAGTCTTTTTAGAAATAAGAAATAAGCTGAACGAAACACTGAATTCTGGCGAAATCCACATAGAAGGGCAATGCCACTAATAAAAAAGAAGAAGTGCACAGTACATGCGACAAGAGTTCAAAAATATTGCAACCAAAAAACAATTTAACACTACTCTTTAATATATCTTCTATGTAAAAATGGTTGTATCAGGTGAAAATACCGTTTCTGTGCAAATAAAACTGATTAGAAAATATTTAAAGTTGAAGATAATGGAAGATAATGTAACTTTTAGAAGCAATAGCAGTCATCATCAAGAGAGGGCTCATGTTTACGATTTAATAAAACGTTCTATTGCTAATGGAGAGTCTCATTCCGCCCTGATGATTGGTCCTAGAGGATGTGGAAAAACGACAGTGAGGCAATCAATAATTATTCGTTTTACTATCATTATATGCTTACTAGGGCATTGATTTTAGATAGATATATAAATATTAGACAACATCAGATACATTACTCAGATTCCAAGATGAGTAGCAAAAGCCACCATATTCCGGAGTGTCTGAGAAAACGAAGATACTACAAAAGTTATTTTTTTATATTTACCTGACCGAGATCGAACCTGAGACCTCAGAGATAGCAACACTTTGCAACCACTGTGTGAAACTCTCTGCTACAAAGACATAAATTTATTAATTGGTCGCATAATTTTGTTTACTCTATCTTAACAAAAAGATTCTTCTGTCATAACTCAACTAATTGTACTATATCTACTTTTAAATATAAAAATATAATTTAATAAAGTGGTACACAAGCTTAATTCAAAACCATACCTTTATAATGTTACTTTAATGTATATAATAATAACCCAGGAAGTTTTTTAGTTCTTAAAATACACAATTTGTTTTTTCATAATTTGCAGCTTGTAAATTCAGTTTTAAGTCAAATATCTAAAGAAGTGGATGTAGAAAATGATGCTATAATTGTGAAGTTGAATGGATTGATTCATCATGATGATAAAGTAGCTCTCAAGTCTATTACTGCTCAGGTAAACAACGACTCAATTTAATCTGAAGAGTTAGATGCCCAGTTGCACAACAATAATATTTATTAAAATTGTCATTACTTTAAAGGAACATGGGTTCATTTTTTTATTTAGTACATTTATTAGTGTCTAAAGATGTTACTAAACCTCAATGGACGTCTGTGCAAATGGATAAGATGCTTTATTAATGGCCAGTATAATAAAATAGGTTATAATTCAAACAGACTAATGTTTACAAAGTATTTAGCATGGGTAGAAGATATTGCATTACACTAACATGGAGATAGGAGAGTAGTTTTGCTTGCTTACACTGACAATGAGGAACTGGTGGTGAAAGATTTTTTGCATATTACACTGACAAGTGCGAGGGGAAAGAGTTGTATACTTTTGCTGACAAGGGTGAGGAGGAAAGAATTATGCTAATAAAAGGAGGGGGGCTAATACTTATTTGATCTTAGAAATACTTGTAAGATTGCACTGAGGACATTACACAATAATAGGCTAATAATGATGATTTTATAAAATAATTTTAGATGAAGTTAGAAAATGTAGTTGGTGATAGAGTGTTTGGCACTTTTGCTGAAAATCTGTCATTCCTGTTGAGCTGCCTCCAAAGCGGTGCAGACCGGCAGTGTAGAAGCATGGTTTTTATATTGGAAGAGTTTGACATGTTCTGTCATAGTGGACGTACACAGACATTACTTTATAATCTGTTTGATATTACACATAGTAAGCAGGCACCCATGTGTGTTTTAGGTGAGTGGATTATATTATATTTTATTGTTTTTATGGCCTTTGATAAAATAAATAAATTATAATAAATAAACAAATAAATATTAGACAACAACACATACTATTGCTCAGATCCCAAATTAAGTAGCTGAAGCACTTGTATAATGGAATTCTGAAACAATGGAGGTGCTTATGGCCACATGTCAAGCTACACCACCACTGTAAGCAGGCCTCTGTTAGTAGAGAAGTTCTATATGAATTGTGGTCAGTAGAAAATCCACAATGTATAGTCTAACATGCAGCCCTGTGTACCATACACAGTTCAGTTTCTATGTTGATTCAATTGGGAATCCACTGGTTTGGATACCTTAAAGATGACGACACCTTGAAACCGGCGTATGACTCAATTAGCCATGGAGGTTTTTATCATAGCTTCTTATATAATTTGTAATCCTGGAATTTGAGGGTAGGGTTAAAATTCAATTGTGAAAATTTGACATGTTTTCTTAGTTTGACATGCAGTCATGTGTACATTGATAGAAAAGATTGTGGTATCTATATCTTTCTCTACTGACACAAGCAAAGTAAAGGGCATCAGTAAACAAACATTAAAATTGTCTTGCTATGCTCCCTTTCTGCACTCTAGAATCTCGCGATTTTCTGTCTCATTCTAACAGTGTCTGGTTTCCCTGCTCTATCTGTAAATATTTCTATGGGTCAACTAATGTAACCGCATGCAAACTTTTTGTCTTTGAGCTTCAACATATGCTCTTTATGAATGTCAAGTTGTGAAAATTTGTCGGTTTAGAAACATTATACATACTTAATATCAATCAATAGCAAGTTGTTGTGGAGTGTGTTTAAATTTATTTATTATTACCTGTTGTAAATTAATACTATATCAAATAAAATCTAGTAAAGTTAAATTAATCTCCAAACCTGAAGACCATTAATTAAACCATTAATTAAATTAAGTTCACAAGCTTAGTCATCCCTTTACTCATTTGCCTAAGCATTGAATCCGTCAACTAGTAATAACTAATTACAGGCATCACAAATCGCATTGACGTCATGGAGTTGTTGGAGAAACGTGTCAAATCAAGGTTCTCACACAGGCACATATATTTGTTCCCTTATGAAGATCTGGAGGCAGAAGCCAGAGGTAATAAGCCAAAATCGCCCTTAGAGTGCTGTAAACAAATACTAGTTTTCCTTCTAAGCGTGCCAATTAGTTTAGCTGGGGATAAAGTTGATGTTGTGAAGAAGAAGACTGGAAGGAGTAAGAAAAAGTCTATTTGTAAGTAATGTCTTCAATGTTCTTCATTGTTTATTATAATAGGGGCTATTTTTAATTATGCAGTTATAATAATGATATTTTTATCTAGAAAAATATCCCATATACAGTTGTATGGACATAATACAGTTAATATAATAAAGTACAGTAAATAAATACATGGCCGTCGAATATAAGACCTTTAGTTGGTGCAGACTCTTACGAATTACGATAATGACCAAATATATTTTAATCGGTGAAATAATAAGGTTTAAAATACAATGCACTTTCACTCTCTCAGATACACTTTGCGGGATCAGTATCAATACCTCGTAACTTAAACACGTATCTGTAGATGAGAGCTTTATAATGTCCACTGCCCAATCATGATTGGTCAAATTGACCAAATTTTACATTGACGTTTGAAAGACGAAACATTGTGTTTTAATAGTTATCTAGTAACAGACTACGGCGTGATATTTGAATCATTCTAATCGGCCGACAGGCTAAATATCGAAGCAGTAAATCAGGTTACCATAATATGTCAATCTATCGCAATTGATTTTCAACTCTGTATGCATTAAGGTTAAAAATTAAGTGATTGACAGATTTGTATAACCTGACGCGCTGTTGATCGTACATTGGTGAAACACGTTAGCTGTGATTTCCTTTAACATGGTCTCCACTACATATTTGTTATGTTGCCTGATTTTAATTTATTTACTTTATTTTAACTAGCAAACGAACAACCATCAGAGTTAGAAGAAGACTTATTACCCGATGAAGTGGTAAAGAGGTGCAATATAAATATGGAACAATTTAAAGCACTGGATTCCGATTTCCTTAACGATTGGAACAGTCATGTACAAAGTTTGTTGGATGATGAGAGAGTGGTTGACAGCTTAGAGAAGATGTGCTATTATACTGTTAATGAGCAAATATTTAGAAATATTTTGGTAAGTTAAGTTATCTTAATTTAAGTTATCTTTGTTTAGTTATCTGATAATGTGTATAGTCTGCGCCGCGTTATATGCCCGAGACAATATGATGTCTCGTCATGAGTTTTCCTTAGAGTGTGAACCTTAATGTAACGCATTTAAGTCTATTTTGAGTGTCGATACCTACTCGTATTCTATTGGTTATAGCTTGATCTCTTCTCCATAGAGTCTATGACGAATTTTGCCGATGCTATTACATAATATTATAGAAATCTTTCAAATCTCTACACTTCATTTTAAACCTTAATATTATGAGCGTAGAGCGTAAAATCAACTGGAGAAATTTGACAGTTATAACCGTGTGTACTATAACTATTCATACGCGATTTTACGCGATATTATTATTTTTAATTACAGTTTCAAATAGTATCAAAACTAGGGACAAATAAGCCGTACATAGACGCTACCGATCTCGTCTCGATCATAGACAAGACTGTAACTCCGGAACACAGGGTGATGCTTCTGCAGTCGTTGTCTATACTAGAGTTGTCTCTGGTTATAGCTATGAAACACGGCATGGAGATATTCGATGGTCAACCCATGAATTTCGAAATGATCTTACACAGGTATGATATCATTAAGTATCTTCTCTAAGTTTAAGCATTTTTCGGTAAGAATATTTTTCAGAATAGTATTGTGAAAGCGAAATTGATCAAATATATAAGTATTTTATTTGTTTAAAAAGTATTTGATGATGTTTAGTTTAGATTTATGATCAGCGATTGGAGTAGGTGGTTTTATTATATACAAAGACATTTATTAATTATATCGTGTAAAATACCTGAAATAAAGTTTCACCCCCTATTTTATCCCCTTTGAGGTGGAATTTATCAAAATCCTCTCTTAGAGTATGCCTACGTCATAGTAGCTTTATGTATGCAAAGTCTCAGCCTAAAATTGACAAAGTTTCATACAAAATTTCATCCCCAATTTATCCCCTTCACAGTAGATTTGATCGAAATCTTTTCTAAGGGGATACCTACGTCATAGTAGCTTTATGCATGCAAAGCCTCAGCCCGATCGGTGTAAAACTGTTAAAGTTTCATACAATCTTTCATCACTATTTTATCCCCTTGGGTGTAGAACTAATCAAAATTCTTTCTTAGCGGATGCCTACCTCATAAAATCTACCTGCATGCCAAATTTCAGCCCGATCCGTCCAGTGGTTTGGGTTGTGCGTTGATAGATCACTATGTCAGTCAGTCACCTTTGAGTTATATATATTTAGATGCACGTCAGATTATCACAATATGTAATTTTTTCCGATTAATTTTGAGCTCTACCTACAATGCATTAATGTTTAAAAGAAGTGGAAAAATTTGACATATTTATATCTTCTGTGGCGCGGTTGACTGTACTTATGTAATGGTGTGCCGTACCACCGTTTATTTTCCCTAGGTACAGCATGCAAACTTTTGTCTGTGATATTCAACATCATTTCTTTTTATTACTCCCCTTTCGTAATTTGAAATTTTGACTAATCAAATATGCTCTTTATGAATGTCAGTACGTAAAAAAACACCTGTTGTGAACATGTTATTGTTAATCTTATAAATTTAAATATAAAATATTATAATAATGAAGTTATAATGATTAAAATAGGAATAATATATTATTTAAAAATAAATTATATCTTGAAATATCGTCCAAGTTTACGTATCACGGCAAACCCAAAAAGGGGTATGTATTTGTTCTATTTAGAAATTGTAATTTTATATTTAGGTAACTCATGAACTGTTTTTATATTCATCTTTTGTTTGTTACAGTTTTTTCTTTACCCTTTAATTATTTACCATAAAATAAATAAATTCCCAAGCTTAGCCTTTCATAAATTCGCCCAAGCATCGAACCCGTCACCACTAGCGCCCCACGTTGGGCGCCAGAAATGAACCCTAGGAAAATAAACGGTGGTACGGCGCACCGTTACACTTGTATCCTAAATGATCTTGAAAGAATAACATGGATAAGATATTTTTCCGAAAACTATTTCCGGGTTCAACTGACTATTATTTATGTTGGTAGTGATACTATTTGATTTTATTTAACCTATTGCTATCGGATCCCATTTTATTCTTTGGAGTCGGAATATTTATTGAATTTTTACTTCAATTATTATATATTTCCTTCTTATATTCCGGAAAAAAATTATAATAAATTAATTTGCAAAGGAATGTTTATATCAATGTATATATTTCAGATCAATGATTCAATTGAATCACTGGTCTTGATAGATATTACTAAGGTATCTATACTTATATAAGAAATAGAAAAAAATTGATTGTTTGCATTGAATAGCCTACGAAACATTAAGACAGATTTTAATAAATTTTCGCCTACAGGAATCTACATCGAACGCCGGTGAAATAGGTTATAATTTACGCACGCGATGTCGCGGAAAACCAGCTATGTACATTTACCTTGGTTTTTTTCTTGGTTACCAAACGACTATTTTATTTATTCTAGGTACACGAAATTTGCAAACGCAAACTCTTCAACTCAAACGGTACCAAGGCCAGTGATATTGAAAGCTTTCGAACACCTTCAGGCATTAGAAATAGTGTTGCCAGTTAAAAGTACCGATTCCATTTATAATGCGGCCGATACTACGGCGAGTCGAGTGCAAAAAGAATATAAATTATACACTCTAGCTGTGCCTATAGAAGATATCAATGAAGCTGTGAAAAACTTTAAAGCATTGCCCACGGAGATCAGTCATTGGTACAATAATTCTGTTGATTAAAAAAAAACTACTATTTTGGTGGTTTGTAATTTGAAATTGGTTTGTTTAAAGACTGAGTTATTTAAGGATTCGATTGTTATTTTGTTTGGTATTAAAAAAATAAATTAGGATTGATATTTTTGAAATTACCTTTTATTTATATAACTTAATTATATTACTTTACATTTAAAACTGTAACTTTAATCGATTTTTCATATTGTTTGCAAATACATACATACACTGTAATAGCAAATAATTTATATTAATTATTTTTTTTATTGTTGATCGAAGTTTGCAAAAGAATTTGTTATATATAACAAAAACAACATCACTTACAACATATAACAGAAAAAAGTAATAAAATTAGTAGCCATTAATAACAACATACTTATTCTACAATTATATCTATTTTCTAAATAATGGCAACACAATATATCTACCCTAATATTATAAAGGGTAAAGATTAGATGGTTTTTATGTGTGTTTGTTTGCATCGAATAGGCTCTAAGCTACATCATTTAGTTGTTAGTTGTTGTTAGTTGACGTAAGCGAAGTCGGGGAAAAACAGCTAGTAATTAATAAAACATTATAATAAGAGATTGTCCAATAATCACCTTGCTTTCCCAATCAGCGGTGCTCTCTTATAAAAACAACCTAGCCTAGTTACTGCGTAGAGGTTAATTGAAATAAAACTTATTTGAAAAGGCAATAAACACAAGGGAGAACTTGAGGCTGTTTTTAATAGGATATTACTGAAGTACTGTTTATAGACATAAAATCAATGAAAATGCATATGTTCATAACATGTGGTCACAACAAATTTCCACATAGCGAAATTTTCCACATTTAGTGTTATGGCTCTTATGGAAACGCTCACGAAATGTTGTGGCATTCACAGAATAACCACATAGCGAAATCCGTGTCGTTCTTCTACTCAAATTCTTTCACCTACGCGAGCTATATCATATATGGTAAACAATGATAGCCTATATATCCCAAAAAACAGCAAATAAAATGTTCAAAATGGGATTGGAAATTTGTATAAGGAATTTAAACGTTACCATAGTAACCTATGTTTACCATTCAATTTATTATAAGGATATTATTCCGTGTCATGATATGAAACCTTATCTTAATAAATTATTTAATTAAATTTTAAGCCTGGATTAACATATGGATTACTGTTTATCCTATTAACAGTTCCCTAGGGTCCAAGCGGGCGACGCCGCTGGCGGAAAGGTAGTAAATAATAATATGGCAACATATATCAATTTACCCATCGCAAATTAGTGCTAGCGTTATTCACATCCCTGCTGTATTCTTCTTTTCCGAATCTATGTCTGAATCTGTCTTCATTCGCGTTTATGTTACCTAATTCTTCTAATTCTGTAACCGTTAGTTCATTGAATTTCCTGCCTTTAAACTCTTCTGGTAACACCTGAACTAGGGCCGTAGCTTTTCTCGATTTTCCTGAAAAAAATAATTGAGTAAGGGTTATTAACATCAATCGGATCGAATTAGCCTAATCTCCACAATATGGTAATTACGAGTAATAATGATAATTTGGGTCTCTGTTCCCTTTTGTGACCTATTAGGAATACTTATTTTACTCTAACTTTACAGATATCTATTCAATTTGGTCTCAATTATAAATTTATTTTTTACAACCACAACTCCATGACATACTCGAGAAACGTTTTATCTACACCTAATGTCATTTTTCTCGGCTCGAGTGTGAGGCTGCGGTGGTAATATCAAAGAGATCTTACTTTTATTAAAGTTGGTGCCGTCAATTTCCCTGACCATAGAGTCCAGTGCTCTATGGAGATCATTTTCAGGGTTCCCCGGCCTCTTGTTCAGGATACCGTTCTTGAACGTTGACTCTGACGGTTCGTCGTCTACAAACGCCTCGTTACCGAACATCGTCAGGTTTAACTTTCCCTTGCTTTTGTTGCGCTGGATCTGTTAAACAAATCTATATTATTATTAGTGATAAAAATGTGATGATATCTTACTAATAGAGTATTTTGAGACCTTTTGCCGCCTTATAAATTTTAGTAAAAAGTATTTAAAATGTATAATTTATTGACATGTGTATTAATTATTGACATAGTTCTTTCACTATTGACTTGTAGGTATTTGGATTTTTGTAACTACCTACGGTCAGACAAGTCGAGAATTTTTATAAACAATCAAATTGTAACATTCATTGCACATAATATGACAGTAATAAATTAATAAAATTTGTTAGATAATATGATGCATTGCTCAGATTACAAGATTACAAGTACTATCTGAAACAACGAAGGTATCACAACATTCGGCAGGCCTATTCAATTCCAAAGTGTCAAAAACAATTATTCGTATTTTTCGTTATTCGACCGGTTGTCTACAGAGCTCTGTGAACAATGTATTTCGGTTATCTTCAGAGTTGCAAAATAAGATACAGAATTACTTAAAAGAAAATTAAAATAAAACATAATTATAATTGTTTACAATAAATAGATTCTCTATTATTTTATGTTTACATTGTAGTTGGTCTTTCCTGATTTGATTTGTATTGTAATCATTCGCATTTTTCTTTATTATCGCATGAATTTTTGTCTGATCACGTTTAAGCATAAAAATATTTTTTTGTACTAAACTTGGGCACTGTAGGTCTATATCACATGACTGTTTTTGAAATGTTTGTTATTTTATATGCCTTTTTAAATTACTTCTTCTTCTTTATTAATTAATGGCTTATCAGCGCATTTCGCACAATTCTGCCAATGTCAAGTAAATAAATTATTTTTTACATGTAAAATGAAAATGAAATGAATGAAAGATGGCGATGATTTGAACTATATACTTACATGCATTAATTTTTTTAAAAATATGGATTTGTTCCTTTATGCACGGAAATTTTGCTAACATCCCGTAGTGAGAGAGACTTGTGACTCAAGAGACAGAACGGTAATTTTCATTAAATTACATGCCAAAATAAATGAAAAAATGACGTTCGGTCCTAGACAATTTAGAAAATTTCATTGTCTATTTTAACTGTTTTATTTGAACTCAAAGATGGCGACACCTTGAAACAGGCGTTCGCACCACCCGGCTACGGAATCACTGAGTATTGTCTGACCTCGTGCAGTTTGTCTACGACAAAACTGTGTCCGGTGTTGACGCCGATGTTGCCCACACACTCTACGCTGTTTGATCTCTGGAACGAACGTAACGCGGACACGGCGCGGGACACTCCCACCTGTGAACGAACACAATCAGCCCTGCGATTATGTAGAAATCCAAACTTCGAATTCGAATTCACTCAGGTGTCCAAATTCCCTTCAAAAAGTGGAATACGCTCAACCTTGAGTCGGTAATAACGTTTCGTAGCATGGGTGAAGTGAGTTTCGAAATGACATAGGAATAGAATATCTGAGAGATACAAAAAATGATTTTTACGCAATTTTGTTTTGTATTTTTATAAAAAAAATAGAATCAATAGAATTTATACACTAAATTACTTGAATTTGGACACATGAGTGAATACGAATTCGGGTCTGGAATTTACAGAATCGCAGGGCAGTCCTGTAAAATCAGGGCCGTATCTAGAGGGGATGGGCCAGTTGCCCCGGGTGCCAGTGTCAAAATTCACACACATGATATGATAATGATATCCAAGTATAATCCAATAAAATTGAAATTAAAAAACTAAAATGCTTCACGGACCAAGAGGGGGGGGGGGGGCGTCTTTCAAAAACATTGGACACACCCCAAATATTTTTGAAAGATCTATCCAATGATGCTGAAAGTCGTTTTCGTTTTAGTAATCCGTTTCTGACTTACGAATACGCTTTAAAGAGCTAATTTTCGTTAATAGTCAAGTTTCCCCCCCTTTAATAACTAAAAGTTTGCTTTACAAGTTTACGAGTAATAGATAAGTAAACTATTATGTATGTTCAGCGATGCGATTTTCAAAATTCTTTATTAATGTGGTCCCATTTTATTTTTATCGAAATCGGCTATCACCTATCCTGTGGCTAGCCTGTTCCCTAACTGCCGCATAGCAGTCCGAACGCGCCAACCACTACGCCATGAAGCTCAATACCACTATCATTAATTAATTACCTGCCCATGTCTTATCCTGTGCTCTGTCAAGTCAGCACCCAATAATTCCTCATACGGGTCCATACGGATCGGCATTATTTTGTCTATAACCCATAGGAGGGCCATAGTGACTAAGGCACCCCAAGCCATAAGACATATCCCGGTTAACGTCTGAACACCTAGTAAGTACCAACCACCACCTGAAAAAAAGTTTGAGCTGATACTCCCATTTTTAGGGGTCCGCCACTCACGCGATAAAACTAATCTCTTAAAGCATCACCCTGTTTGCCTGTCTGTTCGTCTGTCATATTTGATATTCTTTGTAACTTCACCGAATGAGTTGTAATTTCGATTTAGATAAAAACCTAGTACCTAGGATAAAAAAGTAGACATCAAAGCCAGGCTTGGTATTTTTTTTTACCTTTGAATAGTCCTGATCTACCGTTAGTGGTTTCCATGGGTATCGGGTTGTCAGCGAACAAGCCAACAGCTATAACTCCTGTAACAACGAAAAGCTTTTAATGACTAAACAGGGTACATAAAATAAATTTACTTAACAAATTATGATTATCGAGTGTCGTTCCCAAATATCGGATGCAAGCAAGGCCAAGCTTTTATTAAAGGCTTATTTGCGCATTTCGCACAATATTGCCAAAGTCAAGTGAATAAATTAATTTCTACATGTAAAATGAAAATGAAATTAATGAAAGATGGCCATTCCCTAAAGTCGAATGTCATCTTACTTCTTCTTTTTTTAATTAACGGCTTATCTGCGCATTTCGCACAATTCAGCCAATGGCAAGTAAATAAATTATTTTTTACATGTAAAATGAAAATGAAAAAATCTTCAAATATCACATGTCATTCTACAAACATCATGTCATCCTTCAAGCGTCACATGACATTCTACAAACATTGTACGTCATCCGTAAACATGAGACCTGCTCTGCGATTCTATAAAAATCCAAACAAACCCAAATTCGGATTCATTCAAGTGTCCAAATTCCGTATTCATTCAAAAAGCGGCATCCGCACAATCTTGAATTGCTAATAACGTTTGGGGGCATGAGTGAGTTCGAAATATATCGAATATCTGAGACAGGTTTCAATTATTTATTTTGTATTTTAATACAAAAGTGGAATCAATAGAATGATAAGTATTTACAAATAAAAAGAAAGCACCTCCACTAGATGGCGACTTTAGCAAAAGTAGATTTTTGCAAGAAACGAATAGACCAGATACAAGTCATTTTCGTTCCTTTTAACTAACATAATTAAAAAACTGAAATTTGCAAAGTTCGAAACTTAGATATTAATACAAATACGAAAAAGTACAAATAGAATATGAGTTGTTTGTTGAGTTTTGAAAACTAATTTACTTTAAGACATGAAAGAAAACCAGAATGGTTGTCATGGAGAAATCGAACCGTAGAGTACCGTACCGTATACCGTAGCGACATCCAGTTTGATTTCGGGAACAATTTTTATATTTTAATACTTTCTCATTAGGGTTCGGATTTTTACAGAATCGCCTGCTGATGACGCTCGTGATTTAGGACCATATAACATGTGTGCTTTAATTATATAAGCATGTGTGTTGTGATACAGAGTATGAATGTTACCCCAGAAGCCAGCAGCGCCGTGTACAGAGCTGGCTCCGACGGGGTCGTCCACCCTGAGTTTGTCGAATAAAGGTGCCGTACACGATACTATTGCTGCACCCAGCGCGCCTATCAACAACGCCTCCCATGCCCGGTATAGAAAACATCCCGCTGTGGTAAACAACAAGATAACAGATAATATTGTATATACGTCGTCATAAGAAACGTTTCACTCATAAAGAAACAGTCTGACACATAGTAAGACACTGGCCAATAAGACTAACGGATTGATTTTTGCCCGAACGCCGAGACTCTTTGCGATTAATTGCATGTACGACGGGCGTAAATCGGCTAATCAAAATTGCTTACGTGCATTACCAATAACTGTCGCCAAAAATCGCTTCACAAGTTCTCAGTCTAAGTGATTTACTTTTCTCATTCGATTTACCCTTATTTTATATGTTCAGGTTGCTGACACTGTTTTAAGGGACTCGCATCAGTCTCTATCCATTACGATAGTATTTGTGTAAGGGACTCACTATTCCGTAGTTAAGTCTTCGGAAGAAGTAATCTTTAGTATTAATGTTCAGCTTTCTGTTATAACGGATTCATATCAAGGACTCCCTCGATTCCTGCTTATTTATATTATATTATTAGTATTTGTGTTCAGCTTATTGCCGTTATAATGAACTCTGACAATTATTTTCCATTAAAACCTTTGATCATTCGTCGGGTCCACGATTAACCCTAATGTAATGTTAGAAGAAACAATAAAATGTGTACTTACCAGTAATAGAAACCAGAGCACCAAGGATACTGTTTATGAGATCCATCACATCAGCTTTGCCTTTGTTCTTGATCATTGTGAAGCTAAAAATGGTTCGTTTTTTAAATGTACAAATATTTCAGACAATATACTGAGCATCTTGTCTGCAAATGATTTACTATTTTAATCTGTTGTCTCACATAAGTCCGAAGCAGCCTCCGCCGAAAGAACCCATCATTGTCATCACAGCGGCCCTGGCTGCGTATTGCCACTTCGCTCCACTCACCTGGTCAAATTAAGTAATAGAGTTCATATCGACGCTGGAAAGCAAACACGTAGTAACCCGAAAAACCATACTTGTTCTTCAGAGCAGAAAAACTTTTATTTTTCTCGATAAATAATCCCTATAAATGTCCATGGTAATAAATAAAGTGTTCCTTAGTCAATTTATACCGAAAAAAGTTTTTTTTTTTTTTGGAAAAATATAAAGATTTTCCACTCTAAATATCCATTTTGGTTTTGCGGGTTACTACGTGTTTGCTTTCCAGCGTCGATATATATATACTGAAAAGTTGCTCGCTAGTTCAAAAGTTGCCACCATTTTGAATTGTCGTCTCGTTTACTTTCTATAGAATTTCTCGTTACTTGGGGCATAATTGTCTAATTTTAAAATCTATCACAATCCCTTATCTACACAACTATTTTACATGTGATAGCGCTTGTTATAGGGACGTTTTTTTAAGATACTGAAAGAAAGACATTGTTGATCTAAGTTGCCTTATCGCAAATAATTTTCAAAGATATTTGCGTCTAACTCACGGCCGTAGCTAGGGGGGCATTGTGGGGCAATGCCCTACCTTGAAATCACATTGCCCTACCTTAAAAATAAGTAAGATAAATTATTATAATTAAATTGTTTATTCTTAGTTTGAGATCTTAACATTCCGAACGTACCACAGTTTTTGACATTCATTTCATATTATAATAATTCTTTGCTCTGTGTATAGATGGCATTTGAAGCGCCATCACGTGAAGGGATGGGTCTATTTAATTATAATATCTGTGATGCAGAGGGAATTCCTCGTATCATAGATTGCAATATGGCTATTTTGTATTGCAATCTATGGTACGAGGAATCCCTTTAAAAACGAACATTATCATAAACTAGAGATTCTACATTTTCAACTTTAACTGCAATCAAAAGGCCTCAAAGAATGTCAATGGGTCATGAGTGAATGGCTGATATGGTATTTCTGACCCTTGGAAAAAAAAGAACAAAATCAGGTGATCTGAACGAAGTTTTTCACATTTTTAATAACATGGCAAATCATAGAATTCAGTTGTTTTAAATGTGATTATTATTATTATTACTTTTTTATTATTTTAACTATGATAATAAGTTTGCAGAAACAATAAAATCTAAATGGTATTTAAGTTATGTCTATTTACTCATATCACCCCATCCATTAGTTTACTACGTGGATTATAAGATAATATTAAAGACGTGGATCTCTACATCTTGTTCACTTGCCCTTCATCATTGAGGATCTAATAGTTCTTAGATTCAGGCTCTTGTTCTGTCACAGAAATTATTTGTTTACGTATAGCTATTGACTTAGTGGTCAGTATATACATGGTGATTGATTTAGTAACCCGTGCTTCGGAGCAGATTAATTATGATATTTTTTTACTTCCGCCCTACCTATAACCAATGCTGCCCTGCCTAAAATTCGACTCTAGCTACAGCCCTGGTCTAACTTAAAAGTAAAGTTTAGTTATTAAGGAATGTTAAACGAAAGGATTCAATGATAATTGCAATCTTTCGATCTTTTTATTGTTTATTGGTCATTAAAATCGTCATTCGTTCCAAATGCGATTACGACTTTAAACGTTTGATAATTCCATAAACCCTTACCAGAAGGTCTATACATTTGAAAGAGATGGCGACAGATTTTGAAAACAGACAATTAGCCCACCGCTCTACATACTCTCTTCGATATGTCGCAATTTGAATTCTGCATAGGCGCTGTGACACACACTGTGTCAATCACAGCGCTTTCACAGAGAGGTTCAATCAGATAAATCCTGTATTATCATCGGAAGTAAGTTTTATTTTATCGAATCTCGATTTCTGCAACAGCGCTTTATTTAATGCTGTATATTTAAACAGAATAACACTGCCGAAGTTTTTGTCAACTACTGAATCCGAAACATGTGAATGTTAATAACTACAGAAAACAAATAAAGGTTGTATTAGTTTTAGGTACATTAAAGATAACCTTTGATTATTTATTATAAATAAAAATATCCTTATATTTATAAATAATTTTTTTAGTCCTTCGAGGCGGTTATCATTAACGTTTAAATGTGTAAAATATTATTATATGTTAAAATATTATTTTACTTTATACAAATAACGTTTCAAAATATTCGACATGTAGATAGATAAAAATACCTATAAAAAGTTAAATTATAAACAATAGTAACAATTACAGTACTTATTGAAAACGACCATCATCGGTTTCAGTTAATTCCAAAATGGTCGCCGTTTTACAGTAATCGTTCAGTGGTCATTAGTATTTGCGTGCCATGTAAATGGCATATTTAGAACTAATTGGATCTATTTGTTGGACGTAGAATAATGACGAATTGCCGAAGGTTTAAGTGGTACAAGGTTCAAGATTTAATAAGAGGCGTAGCGAAAAACAGTTTGTTTTTTTAGTTAATTAAAGTTGAATCGCTACTAGATGAAATTTTCAAATTGATTTATCGATGCTATCTATCTCAAATGTACATAAACTGTTAGTGTTACTGTGTAGATTATTGATAAGTCCAATTATTAACGAAGGTCCGATTTAGAAATTAAATTATTAAGAAAAGCGTATGAGCTTGAATTAATAGTGTATTCACATTTTCTTACTATTCATTTTATCATCCGCTATCAGACATCCGCTAACCGCCTCTCTTGTGTAATATAAATCTAATCTCAAGATAATGCATCGGCCTTGCTATTGTGTTTGATAGAACGTTGTTTTAAAACTTTCTACCGCTTTTAAAGTTTAATGATGTTTTCGATTCGCAATTAATGTTTCGATGGTCAATGGTCTAGGCTGATTTGATGTTTTATATGTAACCTACATAAAGTTATTAAAAAGGTAACATAAAAGTAATTGCAAGAAAACATATGCAGAAATATTCAAAATTTTGCTGAGCTACAACGTCGTACAACGTTGAAAGGACTTGATCTCGGTTCCTTGTCCCAAATAAAAAATCGTTTTATCAAGGCGTTTTATATTATCTAAAAACTCATTGGCTGTTCACTACACTCAAGATGCAATGCACTTGTTTCAATAACAATTCATCCCCTTTATTAGCTGGGCTTCGATTAGGCTCTCCACGCCCAGTCTTAAATCGAACAGCGTCCATTTCGACTCGTTTAGACTCGACTCTACGCGCCTTGACGTCAGCCTACACTGGATATGTGATCGAAAATATTTTGAAATTAATAAAGAGTTTAGTACTCACCCCATAAGTGCTGCCTGAATTGAATGCCAACCAGCCCCACCATAGCACGAATGTCCCCATCACTGCGTTCACGGGGTTACCAAGAGGCAAGGGTGCGTTGCCATTGGCATATCTGCCCAGCCGTGGGCCCAACATGAGGGCTGATGCGAAAGCAGATGAACCACCTACAGTGAATGAGACATAAAATGAATTATAATCATTGAAAGTTTAGGTCTTTTAGCTTTAAAATGTGAAAAGTGGAGTGTTAATACGAATTTTAAAAACTTCATGATTGATAAAATCATGAAGTTTTTATAAAATTCGTATACGTTTAAGGCAAAGATTTATTTACAAACTCATTGCTATTTAATTTGGTATTATTCATTTAACGTTGCCTTTATTAATAAGATCATTATTGTTTACAAAAATAAAAAAGTACCGACCCCAAAATTGAACCTTGCTGTATCTCCTTTTCAGATATTTATTCTTTTCTCATATTGAAAAATCCAAATTTAGCGTTAAATATAAACATGTTCAAAATTTTTGGTGTAACAAAATTCTATGTGCTATGATTTCAAGCTTATCTTGTGACCTACCAATAAGATGTACAGGACCGGAGCCAGCTATGTCGACAGCGCCCATTTTGTTCAGGAATCCATGCGAGCCCCACACCCAGCCAGCGGGCACACAGTAAACGATCGTGTTCAAGAATGAAAACATGCAGTACGCTTTGAAATTGCATCTAGGGATTTGAATAGCAATAATAATTAGGAGTTCCAATTTAAGTTATTTTCAGGCTTTTACTTTCCGTCAATCTATCTTTTTCTATCACTGTAAAATGCTATATGTTTGAACGAGAAAGATGGCGAGTATACGATAGTATGTTCTAGAAAATAATAGGGCGACGGCAAAGGACAATATCATGCTGCCAAATGCAGCACAAACCTTAGAAGTCAATATCGACTATGATATTTAGACAATAGGCTATTGCCATTACACCTATTTTTGAAAACTGACGCAATTCAATCCTAAGGTCCTAAATCATGGAAAAAAAAGAAAACTTTTAAGTAAGTTTCATAATAATATAAGTATCTAAACTTTACATTTTAAAATTTCCCGCGAATTGGACGAAAATACTATACACCATGTGGTTCTGTAGTTGTGACGTCACCTGGTTTCGTAAAACAAACTCGTTGCTGGTGGTTTCTTAAATAATTGTAAGAAGATAGTACTTATGTATATAAATACTTAAATATAAAAAAAATCTTTTAGAAGTGTTTACCATTGGTAATAAATTTGAGCGGATTTTTCTTTACAAAACTCTGTTCCACGGTATTAATTTAATAAAAAATGTTGATTCTTTTTTCGTCATTAAATACCTCGTGTGTTCATAAGTTTTAAGACAAGTTTTTTACTGAAAAAATTAAAACAAAATGTTACTAGCTGTTATATTTTTTTAACTATTTTGAATTTGGAATGTTAGTTAACTTTTAGCTTATTTGTATCGCAAATTGATTTCTTGATATTTTCTCGTGATGGAGGGAATGAAACAATTACGTCAACTGTACAGATATTCCACGAGCTGAAAAGTTCTCCTGTAAGTCGTAACTTCGTCTATAACACAATACAGCGGACCAAGATCGCCAAAGAAGTGTTCAGCCACGCTCTGTGAGGCCTTATGAACTCACGAGGAAATTAAAAAAACCGCTTAACGTATAACTTCTTTGAAACTTATTTATCTTATTTGTTTACGAACTGAATGACGTTTCACCTATCATGATGGCTACTGATTCGCGTAGCTTTGACAGATTTGTAAATTTTGATTTGATTTCAATAAATTAATTTATTTATTTCATGAACTCTAACTAACATTCCAGACTGTTCATTTCTTTAGCTATCTCAATTGTATATTTTTAGATTTTTTCTGGTAATGACTAAATAGCCTATTATAAATAAACAAAATACCTATATTGTTCAGATCCCAAAGCTCTTGTATTATGGAAATCTGAACTAAATAAGGTAACGTAATACTTAACCTTAGATAAATATGAAGAATCAGCGGCGCTGTGTACTGAGGCATTAAATAATTAAACACAGAATGATATGTACCTACATACAAATCGAGCGCATCAGAATCACACCGACGATTTGGGAGAGAATTATACACTCATGAGAATTATACCCGGGATTGTCAACTCATGTCTATGTGTGCGTGCGTAAATGCGCATGTTTCGCCCATTTCTATAAAGGTACATTTCTTTCTGGGTCTGGTCATTTTGTGAATGACTCTCTAATTAGACCTCAGGAACGACTACACGTTGAAACTGACGTGAGACACTCGGCCGCAGAGATTGTGCCTTTGTATTACTTTTGATAGATCACCATGACTCGCTTTTTGTGATTGAATACTATTGTAATTTATGTTATACTTTACATTTGACCTTTCAATTTTCTCCATTGACAATATATATATAACCTTATTTCTGATTAATATCTAAAGCCATTTATTTTCCTCACCTTTCTGCCATTGCACCGCTGACTATAGTGGTTGCAGTGGTTGCAAAAGATAGTTGGAAGAGGAAGGACGCAAACATTGGACCCATGAGCGCATCTCCTACAGGTGGGTCTACTAAGAAATCGCCGACACCTATGAAAGGATTGGAATAGGTCCCCTCGCCGAATGACATGCCATAACCGAATATCCAGTACGTAAGGCCTGATGGAAAGACAAAATAACAGACTTACTTCTACTATCATCATCAGCCCATTGTTGTCGCCACTCCTGGGGCATAGGACTTATCTATGAATGGAATCGAATACAGACAATCGGTCATGAACTGTTACAACGAGGGCCTGGTTATGACCTATCACGCAGGCCCAGTGTAGTTGCCCAGTAGCCCAGGTGTATTTACGACAGCAAATGTAGCCGGGACCCATGGCTTAAAGTTCTACCCGAATTTTTGCAAAAGTTGCTTAACTTGTGATCGTAGATCGAATGGACGTGCAAACCACTTTATAACCTCAAGCTTTTCTCTTTAACTACCTTTACTTAGTTTAATTTTTGATGACCTTTTGAAGACCCTGATTTGAAGCTATCGTGATTGATAATATTCAGAGCACTGTAAAATTGCATACTTGTATTTTTGAATAACAACATTAAAACTTAAGAATTGTGAATAACTTACCACCAAGAGAAATATCTGCTAAATTCTTCATCATTATATTGGCTTCGTTTTTTATAGAAACACAACCAGACTCGAGCATCCCAAAACCTGATAGAAGATTTTTTTAAATTACAGTATATCTATTGGTCCATCTTGTAATGGCTTTACAACGGAAATATTTTAACTGCTTCAGTTGTACCATGTTGTACCGCAAGGTACTACTTTAGGGCAATTATTTCTTTAGTCGACCTATGTATCTAAACAATGTGTTTGAAAAATAAGAAATAATGAATTTGTCGATTATTTTGTAAGTAGATTTACATTGAAAAGACCGCGCCAGAATAGAAGGTGACATGGTTAACTTATGTATAACATCAATGCAGTAAATATAGTAGTATAGGTATATGTACATACGGCTGAATGTAAAGTTACCACTACGACTTTGACCTCTACCCTCAATGTGTTAAGGTTTAAGATCAAGTGGACGAATTGGACAGTCTTGTATAATTTCAAGTGCCAGTTTACGGTGCCTAAAGAGAGCGATTGGCGTTTCCGCTTCAGTTCCGGTTCGCTTTTTCGGCAGTAGAATAAAAAACGACGTACCGTTCAATTTGATTGGAAAAATAAAGTAATGCTTTTTATTGTTTTTGTCTTAATTTTCCTTTTTTTTTCTCATCATACTTTTTCTAAGATTAAAGGAATATTAAAAAATATCCAAATGGTCCTTTCCTTTCTCGAGATGCTTGTGATCAACGTTAGATAGATTTCTAATTTTATTTATTTTGTATATTTCAAATAACAGCACTTGTCACCAGTGATAGCATCCAAGTAAGTTTTTGCAGAAACAAGAATGTAAATTGTTTGTTAAGTACCTAGGTCAGGTTTGTGAATGTGGTTAGATATGTACTATTGGTTTCTTGCCAGCTCGCGTAGATAAGCATATTTGGCCTGCAGCCATAATTACGCTTATCTTAGGTGAATGTGAAGAGAATTTTCATCGGTAGGTGATATAATATTTATGCTTATATCGATGAAAATACACAACAATATATATTGTTTAGTTTAGAGATGCCATGATTACCACCTTGTTAACAAAAAACAACACGCAAAATAAATCCAGATTTCTGGTATCTAAAATATAGCAGGATGATTTAAGCATTTTGTACAATACAAAAGTGTTTGAAATAAAATAAATACATTATAATCGATAGATTGATTAGTTTGTTGGTCGTTAATTAGTAAATTTATTATAGATTTTGTGTTTGTGGTAAGAAAGTAGAATGCCAATGATCTGACACCAGGAAACTTATCTGCAATCACCCAATTATCCATTCATATCAGTTGTTTCTTTATAATTTTTTGGGGGGTTTTTTAATAATAATAATGATTATCCAATGCCTAGGGTTGTCCCTTCCCTCGATTATTCGAGGGACCGGGGAAAAAAATAATTATCTCTTATAATTAATCATTTGTTATATTATTATATAACAATATTAAACATTTATTTGGGATAAGCACAAGCATTGCATACAAATTTACAATAAACAGAAACAACTCATTATATGCTGGTCATGAAATCTTAAAATATTTATGGGCTTATGTCACTGAAACTGGCACGTTTTTTTGCCATTATATTGTTTTCATTTGAGTACAATGTTTACATGGTTTAAAATAAAATGTCATGTTCCATCACCATAAGCATTACAAGCAACTTTTTCTATATAGATTATGAAATCGTGAAGGCAACACTAGGTATACATACGTAGAAATCTGTGTACCTTCTTCAACTGACAAATAAAAGATATCATTTTAAAATCCGTTTTCACTAAACCTTGGAGTCTCCCAAATTTGTCGCCTAAATATTTTGGAATCGCATAAGGTGAAAATGCATTTCACAAATGACTAGTAACCACCTACGTTATGACATGCTTGATGTTTTATGAGCATTTTCCTAATATGACAGGTCCCAAATGAGTCGAGGGATAAAACAAAAAAATACTATTTGGGATTAAACTTATCTGCTTAGGCGTTTCCTAGTTAAGCTATGCTTAGTCAAAGATTAGGTGGGAAAGTATAAAAACACAGGATTTGACGGGCTTCTTGCTGTATCCCGGATCCCTCCCCCCACCGAGGGTATTCCGCAGCGGGTTTTACCAAAGGCTAATCATTATTCGATCCGGAAGTGATTGCGATTTTGAACGTTACCTTATTTTGAATCGTTATCATAATATCTTACTTAGATTTTATAGACAATTAGTCACTGGTAAACTAATCACGCTTCAATCTTAGCTTCTCGAGACAGGGTGGTTGGAGAGTCCTAGTTTAAGTCCCCTGCCTTATCAAAAAAGGTAGGATACAAAGTCAAAGAGCATGTTAATAAGCCTAACAGTTGTAATTAAACTTATTACATAATTTTTTTCTCTGTTAAGTAAGCAGCATGCTTGATGATTCTCTTCTCAAAACAAAAAATACTAAATGAAAATAACCCCAAGAAAGATGATGATTATGCAATTTGCTTATATTTTAATGACATCCTATTAATATTATAAATGTGAA